AACACACGTCTACCCCATTAAGCGTAAATACAGCACATACCCGTGTTTCAGGAGTCCCGGGATTTCAAGGCTGTCATAACGAGCAGCACTTGCTGACTTTAACAGTACTTCTGCACTGCCTGGCTTCGACATCGTGTTAAGAGCGGTTATTATTTCCTCGAATTATGCTATGAACTTGATGCCAGTGTATCAGGCTGATCCATATGCACTGGCAAAATCACACACGAACCACAGAAACAAGTAAGCGCCAGGAAAACCCACCAATTGAATTCAAGGATATTTAACTTGGATGTCTTTCGGTGTCGTTAAGCCATGATTTCAACCCTACATTTGGCTTTTTCTAATGATGCAAATAACAGAACACAAAATTGTCGCTTTTTAGTTGTTGCACACGCGAGGGCAATATTTTTGCTGTTGAGTAATTTACAGAATTTTGGGCCATGTTTGAGTCAAACGGTCGTGGAATTGATTGTATTCAAACTGGAAGATTCCTCATGAGGCGGCTTAAATTCTGTAAAGTGAGCCTCACTGCAGAAAACAAGTTGCTTGAAACATTACTAACGACTGAGGTGTTGAGAACTTCTGCCAAGTTTCAGTCAGATAAATGGACGAAAAATGATGCCGTTAAACTAACCTTCTGCAAATAATGACATTAATGCGGTAAATCCCAGTCATTCTTTAACCTCACATTGATGCAGTACCGTACTTTGGAAAACTGACAAACCACGTTTTTCACTGGAAATGATGAGTGTTACCATGTAAAGGAAAACCAGTGATTCAAAAAAAACCACAATTTCATTTTCGTGCCTGCCCGATTCCCTAATAAAGTAAACTAAGCTAAACATTCATTTCACTTATATGGAGTGTTATTTGGCCGAAAATTCTAAGTGTCAATGAATTCCGCATTACATTGTGCTTCTTACATGGACCTAATAATTATGAATTCACCAAATAACTGGGCCAAGTCTTAGTGGTAAAGTCTATGCTAGGTTCCCTATGTAAGTTTTTGCGACAGTCATGCACTTGAACGCTTCGGTATAGAAAGCGTAAATAGAACCTCTGAGCCGTTCCAGAACAACCTGTTTAATGCCGTTCATCCATTCGAGACTGTTCAAAACACACAAAACTGCCCTTTTCCTCAGCATGCACTAACTCATTTACTTAGCAGATTTTTGTGGATGACCGTGTTCGCCTCTTCCGCAGAAACATTCGCCTCTTGCACAACGTCATGCCGCGACGGACTTTGATGCCTCGATCATGCATCCAGAATTAGATTTTGCACACGCTGGGAAGTGGCCACTGACATTACTGACATTGTGGTTGGCCCTAAACCACTAGAGATGACTGACCGTGTTTAAAAGAGGCACTCCACACAGTTGTCGTGCTGTTGAGCGGTTGTGTGGTTTAGTGTCCCATCACCGTGCCGTGCTGCGCATGAATTCTTGTGTGGATACGAGTGGATATCAATGGGGTTTTGCTTGTGGGTTTCGGGCTATAGCCTTTGTTACTTAGATACCTTATCATTACGCGCTTTTGCAGGTTGCTGTTGTCGTCCACAAAAAGTAACTGTGTCTGTAGTGGAGTGGCCCTCGACGTGTGCACTGTCTGCTAGTGTTCGTGGTGTCATTTCTACCACTTGCTGCTGGCACCACAACCCCATTGTTTACGCGCGTTTAAATTACAGTTACCTACTCCGATTGCGAGATATGGCTGAAACTAGGATACGCAATCATGTTATGATTCTGTTATCTTGGTTGCATGATCCTTGATGGTGGAGAAAGCAGGAACCGCATGGAATATCAGGAAGGAAGAAGCATGTTTCTGGCGCTGCTACACGCAATAGTAGCCCCGAGGCAGTACACTTTTTAAGTGTGCATAACCCGGAAACTCTGT